CTTAATTTTCATACTCATCAAACCACACAGTGTCCCTTTCTCCTTTTATTTAATCACTTTTTCTTTGTCAAACACATATTAGCCAGGGGTCCATGCCGCGCAAATAACATGTTGACCTTGTCTTTATTTTCACCACACTTCGACTGTGCACAGGTGGGCTTTATTTTTAACAGCCGCATTAGTTATTCCAACTCAAAGACGAGGCAAATTTTTTTTGCAAATGCAAGTTACCCTGACTCACTAAACTAAATCTCTTAGAAAAACTTTTAAAAAACTTCAAGTAATGTTGTTCATCTCGGTTAAATTTGAATACATTTATTCATGTATTTGTGGTAGGTAGGCAGAGAATGTTCGTTTCCATGGGTACTGCTACTGTTGGATATTTCCTCACTCATCTCACGTAACAATCATTGTTACCAAGAGAGATGTGTGATGCAGTTTGGTTCACTGATGAGGATGTCACCTTCTCTTAACCCTCTCATAGCACATTGTTAGTCACTTCTGCAGCTTTTTATTTTGGAAAAGGTCTATAATTTATATTCAAACTCAGTCAATTAGTGGTGATGCAAACTGAACCTTAGTACCTCTGTGAGAGACAGAGAGAGAGAGAGAGAGAGAGAGAAGAGAGAGAGAGAGAGAAGAGAGATAGGAGGGTAAAAGGTGTTTGTGTAAGACCATAAACTCCAGTCAGTGTTTCCATGGAATAAAATGCTGTGTATTATATGTGATCTAACATTACTTTTAGGAGTGGTGTGGCTTTGAATGCTATATACACATAGACATAAACACATGTACGCAAACACGAACAAGCACATCTTTACACTCCGCATCATTTTGCTATTTCTTTCCTGTTTTTTTTTTCATTCTGATATAATAGATTAATCAACAAGTAATGGAAATATGCTCAGGAAGGTAAGTATGATCTTCAAACACACTGCCTTGTGTATTATAGACGACAGCTCATGATCTGTCACATGCTCACACACGCACTTTCAGTAGTCATCAGGTACTAAGTGTGCAGGTGCATGCATATTTTTGGACACACACACACACACACTTGTGCACGCAAGTGTCGACGCCAAAATGCATGGTGTAAGAGTTGCCAACTGAATTTGAAGTTATTGCTTGGAATTTGAATTATGCATTCAGAATTTGTATGTATCTGTGAAAGCCAATGTTTTCATTCATGTCTCATATTTATCAATATTTACGCTGTAACATTGTGAAATATGGATTTAATGGTGCTCTGTTAGATCATGTGACAGATCATGTGACACTTTGACTGTGCACAGGTGGAATGTATTTAACTAATCATGTGACTTCTGAAAGTAATTGGTTGCACCAGATTGTAGGGGCTTCCTAGCAAAGGTGGTGAATACCAACTTTTCAGGTTTGTTTTGTTATTTTTGTTTTACTTTTTTTTCTATTTCTCTTCACCAATCATGACTATTTTGTTAAGTTCCATTACATAAAATCCCAAAATAATCCATTTTAATTCCAGGTTATAATGCAACAAAATAAAACAGGTCAATTAGCTGGGCACAACTCTTTTATTTTTCAAATTCACTTTAACTTGCAGAAGTGTAACTTTTTTTAAATATTTTTAAATATTTGAAAGTGTTCTGCAAGAGTCTGAGAAAAAACACATTTTCCCATAAATAATTTAAGACCAAATATACAATACAATATGCAGTCTCTGTCCCTTAAAGTCAATATCATCTCGACAATTTAGCAACGTGAAGCTGCATGAATTAACCCTTGGCCACTAGGAGGCAGAAGACATCCTAACAAGCTGTCAGACGACCATATTTATGACTTATAGATTTAAGTTGTTATGGCTGTGCATTTTCAAACAGATGCTCACATCCTGCACACCCAGAGGAACATTAGCATTCATTGTGATGTTTATGTTTACCTAATAAATTCAAGTCCAATATTCACGCTCTTTTAAGGTCTGCTTTAGTCTCTCTCAACTCACAGAAATATGACCTGCTCTAGCTAGATTGGATTCTAAATTTCCACTTTAACAGCTAAGTGATGATCTTCTGTGATTTCAGCACTACAAGACATCCCTTTGTCAACGACATTTGATTCAGTGCAAAAAAACATCACTTAAATGACCTTAACATGCACTGTCTGAATTTGACATGCTGTAACCCAAAAAGAGTTAAGGGTTGAGTCATTATGATTTCATGGCACTAACTAGTCACCCTTCTGTCCTCATTCAGTTTTATTTCTCTCTTTTATGTAAATACAATGTTCCATTCTGTTTCTATCTCTGTGTCAAGCACTACTTCATTAATATTTGATGTGACTTGGGATAATGATGCACTTAGACACTGTGTGTATATGCTGTGTGTGTGTGTGTGTGTGTGTGTGTGTGTGTGTGCGTGTGTGCGTGTGCGTGCAGGTGTGGGTGGATTCGTGTTTGGTGGCAGAGAGAGAGGGGGAGACACTCCAGCAGTTCTACAATTTAAAGTTACAAACCGTGCTGTGCTGAATTTAGGATGAACCACCAAATGCCAGTAAGCAACAGAGAAATGGTAGTGTGATTTGTGCAAACATGTGTGCAGATATATGAGCATATATACAACTGAGTACATTATTAATGAATTTGAAGGGTATTTATACAACATATCGCAGTCAGCTATCATTGATTAGCTGCTTCTATTTCATGGTTATGATGAATTGAGGCAGAGACACAATGAGGTTTTACTTCATAACACTACCCATGGTTTAATTGTCATTCCCAACCCAATATTACGGATAAATGATAGATGTTTTAGGATGGCTGTTAGTCTCACAATCAAAGTCTCACTTCATTAGTTTTAATGTCATATCGTTTGATTTTATGATTCAATTAAATGTGTATCGGAGTAGATGCTGCGATGAAAATATTAGGTTTTAGCAAACACCTTTTTCTGTGAAGGACAATATTGGTCATAACAGGCCTCATTTCACAGATTATCATAACTCTCTTCAAAGGACTCTACAATCTGTAAGGAATGGAAGGTTCTGTTAGTGTTTACCATTCAGGTTTGCAGAGGTTAGACTCTGTTTGTCATTAGAGCATCAAGTATCAGCGGGCAGGAACATCTGGATGTGTTTCAATCTGCGGATTGAGAAATATATTTCTTTGATCTAATTCTATTCAGTAGAAAGTGAATATAAAAGCTAGAAAACATCGCGCTGTTGACATGTGATCAATGTCTCGAATTTTATGATTTAAAGTCTGATGTCTGTCTAGAGGACTCTGATTTTCATTTTTGCACAAGACAGCCTTGGCCAACCGTGGCAGCTCGGGGAAATTGGTCATTACTGCAACAAAATTAGTGGACATTATGTGTAATACCTTCACTATATTCTTTTCTTACTTTCAGCACCAAATCCTCTTCCCTATATGGGAAACATATGCTTGCATCTAAACCAGAGTTAGGTGAGCTAATTATGCAAAATGTATTCTCATATGGTAAATGTTTTTTTTGTGTATCTCTTCCTTTCCAGCTCTTCATCTAACTACCTTGATATAACAAGAACAAGTATTTCCTCCATGAACAAATTATGCGATGCAATGTTTCCTATTTTCCAACAGATTCAGTTTCATTACACTTACTCTATTCCTTGTCTATGAAAACCTTTACCGAGTTGCACTCTCACCTTGTGCCTTTTCATGCAGTATGCATAAACACACAAAGTAGGTCACCTTGATGTGTGATGCTGAGCTCAGCTTGTGTACCTGTGTTTGTGTTTTAAGCCTTGTGGATTGTGTTTTGTCCTCTTATGTTCCTCTCTGTGAGTCTAGTCATTAGACTGGCTGTAAGTCCCTTAGCCCCAACTCTAATTTAATTACAAGACCTGAAGTCAGATGCACTTACAGTCATGTTTGGCATCCATATCGATATATGTTGAATAAGGCTGAAAGAGCTGACCATCCATAGATACCGAAAAGGCTGAACATCCACAGATAGTGATATAATACTCTGAGTGAGAACATGATAGAGGGGTGAAAATAAACAAGCATGGGCTGTCATCATCCAGATCCATGTTTGCATTTACACAAAGAGCTTAAGTCCAAAAGTACATCACCAGTGATAAATAGAGCACTACAAATCTATATATCTATGGACCACTGCTAGGACACCCATGAACCATCCAAATAAACTGAGAAGTCCTTCAGCCTGAAAATCCTTGAAAGCTACCGGGAAGGGTGAGTGAAGGCCAACACACAGGGTAGAGGATTCACATAAAGACAAACACAAATAAAACTGCCTCTGACCAGCCACAGGGACGTTTGTGTCCCTCTAAACCTGCTTTAATGTTGTATCTAATAAAACTATCCAGCTGTTGTAATTACAACTTAATCATTGATTAAATTGACTTTTAAAACACATGCCTCTAGTGACGAACAAGGTTAATATGTTTTTCTATCACAGTTTCCATTTGGATGATAACTTTAAAGTACGTCATTGCCTTGGACATTCCTCCTGCGTTCCCAAGGGCTGTTTCACTTGATAACAGTATACCACACAGGATTAAATACAGATACACATGCACTCACAGTAAACTGGCCTTACTTTGTTACAGTCTGGCTCAGCCTTGGCCCTGGTATTTTGTTTCCTAAGCCGAAACGTTTTGAAAAGGGAACAATGAAAGCCAATCTGCTAAAACTGTCTTGCACAGACCCGCCTGTATAGATGGATAATTAGCTTCCCAAATGGAATTAACCACAATGTCATGGGCCCCTTACTCGCAAACACAGATATGCATAGGGGTGGGGGGCGGGGGTTAATATTTGTCATGACCTGAGGAAGGTCGAGCCAAGCCATGCGAAAACGCAGCCTGATGCACGTGACCAATTCCAAACAGAAAATGTAGTAGTAGTAGGCAGCGTTTGGCCCAGCCCCAAATGACTACAGTGAGAGGAGACTATGATGACGACAGGGCGTAAAACGGCAGCTGGAGACGAGAGGTGCCCTCGTTACGCGGTTTGAACGGTGAACACAAGTGCCTCCCAGAACGGTTCCCGGAGGCTCCACATCCAACGCACCGGAAAGCTTTGATTACGCGTGCGTTCCCAGTTGGATCGGAGAGGGATATTGCCCAATGTCTCTCTCACCATCTCCACGGTGTGATTTTTTAAGAGATGCGGTGCAGGTTGGGCCATCCTCACATCTTTGCAGCGAGTTAAACTACACCGGATAACGAGTCCGATTTGACCAACTAAAAGTACCAGAGGAGACAGAGAAGTTAATTCATTGAAAATGTCTACGACGCACGTCAGCTCCCCGGCGCCCAACCAGAGCGACCTTTCCACGGCCGCTCACGATAAGACAGACGTCCCCTCGGAGGTGGAGAGGCAAATCCGCCTGGTGATTTTCGGCTTGTGCGTAATCTTCGCCGCTGCCACCTTCGTCGGAGGTGTGTATTCGCTGCTCTCTCTCCTCCGAATGAGGAGAAAAACCTCCCTGTGTCTTATTGTGGCTTCCATGTCGGTGGACGACTTGCTCAGTGTGGTCCCTCTCTCCCTCTTCATGCTCTTACAGTGGGAGACAGCTGGAGGTGGAGGGTCGGGCAGCCTGTGCACTTTATCTGGACTTCTGTACGTGTTCCAGGGGGTTTCTAGCAATATGAAGGCTTGCCTCATCGCAGCCTACACTTTTTATGTCACCAAGAGATTTGGAGTTCTTCAATCTGTCCGCCGGCCCCTAAGAGTGATGTGGGCCATTGCCGGTGTGTGGGCGGTCAGCCTTGCCGTTAGCGTGTTACCTTTGTGCGGATGGGGCAGCTTTAAGCCGGTCTCTCTCGGGTGTTTCCCAGAGAGCGATAGTTTTTACACCCTGTTGCTTTTCTCTTTATATTCCCTGTGTTTCTGCGGCTTGTTGTTTTTCTTTATCTCCCTCACCTACCAGCTGCTGTGCTCTAGGGAGCCCCAGAGGACTTTACTGTACCCCAGCTATTTGGATATGGCGAGGGGACTGAGTGGCTCCGCTCCCCTTTGTGACCTTCCGTCCTTTTCCCGGGACAGCCTGAACAGTAGTTTCGGTGCCTACAACGAGCTGAGTCCAAGTTCATGCGGGACGGAGCTCAGGGAGAAACAGGCCAGCGGTGTGTCCCCGGTGTCCATCAGCGGACAGAGGACAGCAGCTGTCGGCGACACACCAGTTGTGTTTGCACAAAAGCGCTTCTCCATGATCCTGGCGGTTGTCCGAGTCATTTTATGGATGCCAATGATGGTGAGCAGCGTGATTACATTTTTTTTTCTAACAACAGCTATACGAACTTTCAGCGTATGCCTCAGATGATGTTAATCAATAGTCTTCAAATTATTTATGTTTTTGTTAACATCTTATGTTTGTACTCATTTCCAACTTGCTGAAAGGTGTTTGTTAGTTCAAAATGGCAGTAAAACTACAAACCAAACAAGTAGAACTGTCTCATTATATTAAATATATATTAAATCTTTCAATAAAATCACTTTAACCTAAACCTGTTTGCACCAGTTAGACTCACCCAACCAACTTGTATGTTCTTAATGGGGAAGGTGAGCAGAACTAATCTCTCTTTTGTTCAACCAGTTATACTATACCCCAAAGACTAATGAAGGAGTATGGAATTGTTTCCATGAAGGGGCAACAAAGAGATGTAAGAAAAGTGTTCAACAGCCAACTAGAAACTCGTGGCTCTAATGTACATGACAAGACTGCCAAACATATTAATGCCACACATCTCCAAACCGACCACAATTTCTGTTTTAGCTTGTGTATATAGGCTATGAGCTGGTAGGGTTTAGTGTGGGCTCAAGTAACAAGTTGTGGGATCTTTAGTCATCCTGTGATGAAAAATAAATAAATGATACTGTAATTTTTGTTGTTGTTGGAGACCCATTACAAACCCCTTCAGGCCACTTTGGGAAAAACAACAGTATTTTCTTCAATTTATTAATAATCTGTTTTGAAAGCATTTAGACATTTCGTCATGGTTTATCGTCTCATTAAAATTACAACTTTACTGACATTTAAACAAACAAGCAGCAATGATTTTGTCATCGCCAATGTCCCATTTAATTAACCCCTAAAGGCCTTGAGAACAGTATTTGGCTTGTTTTAGTCAGTACCTAAAGGGCAGCATTTACTGGGGTACATTGTGTAATACTTTACATGATTGCCACACAATGAGCACTGCTGTTTCAACAATCGTTCTGGCTCAAACACAAAAAAATGTTGGTGAAAAATGCTGTGCAGCCAGCAGACAATGATGGGCTAACAGAATTGGCATGCCAAATGTTCAACACTGAATGTGCAACAACCTTGGATATGATTACCACAGAAGATGTCAGCATTTCACTGACTATAAAAATGCAATGAATACAACTTAAAATTCACAATGAGTTTCTTTTTTTTCTTTTTATTTCTTTGATAAACAAACAAGTCAACCTACGATGGTTTGTCTTTAGATATTTATTATTTGTATCGTTATCATTTACAGCTATATTATTTTTTTGAAAAATGTAGGTCAATATCAGTACAACAGGGCCAAAATGGCTGAGTCACATAAACACCAATAAGCAATATAAATGTATACAATTATTTTCAATTTAGTGCACACAATACAATAGTGCACCTCTCTCATATTGTTGTGTACAACACACTTCCGCATGCATACTAAATTACAGGCTCCTCAGTGAATTAATGTCCCCCTCCCCTTCATTCACAGACTTTGGTGCTGGTAAGCCACACAGTGAATGCACGCAGCTACTCCCTGGAGACGCTGAGCTTCTTTCTCACTCTGCTTGCCCCTGTGGTCACTCCACTATTCGTGCTGTCTGAGCGCTGGATCCACATGCCATGTGGCTGCTTCATAAACTGCAAACGGGACCCAACACAGGAACCCTCAGGTAAAAAAATGAAGTCATAGAAATTTACCAACGGTTCAGCATGAAGTGTGTTTCAACATAATGAATTCCTAAACAGGTTATTAAACCGGGTTATAAACATTGTTATATGGTGGAAAGGGTACTAAAGGTGTAATTACATTATTCCCAATAACTGTTTTCACAGTGATGAAAAGAAGATTTGAGTTCAACCTTTCCCTCCAACAAGGCTATGGAGTGTACAAGTTGTCCCATGCCACCGTGTCTCCTTGCAGTCCACCCCTTGAGAAGCCTGCCTATCACAGCCTCTTTAACTGTGACTTCCCTGATACCTGCCTTGATGCACTAGAAAGTGGTGGACTCTCCAGCCACGGGCCTGGTTTTGATTTCAGCACCACCTGCCCTATGGACAGCTCCTCTCATGCAGACCTATCGTTGGAAGTGGTGGCCGGTGGAGGAGAGGCGCTGGCTGATTGTTCACTCCCTCATGAGAACCAAGGAGATGATGGAGACTTCCTCTGTGTCTCTTCGCTTCCTTCTCATCACCGGGAGCAGGATCACAATCTCACTGACACATCGTCTGTGTTCGAGGGCCCGGAGAGGAGGCTGTCACATGAGGAGAGTCAGAAAATCGAGCTGACAGACTGGGAGTGGTGCAGGAGCAAATCAGAGAGGACACCCAGACAGGTACACCACAGTCCAGAGTCAGCAGTTTATTAGTCTCACCATTAAATTAAGTCATTTTTATCTGTCATTCTGTGGTTTATGGCTGGCAATAATTGATCTTCCACACTCACACTATATTGCTTTCCTAAACTAGTCAAACAACTGCTGCATTAGCCTGCAACATATGGTGATGTACTCTAGAGATGATCGTTTTGGAATGATTAGCATCCCAGGACCAAACACTGGATGGATTTTCAATCTCTGTTCAATCTTCATGTCTGTGTTTACATTTTGTTTGAAGAGGAAATTAAATGCTTTGTTATAACAGTGCACCTGTACAAAGACCTAGTCCACAGCTGTTGGACTAGGATGCAGTCTTTACATAACCAGGCTATAGAGAAGTGTGTGCATGGCCCGTGAATGGCCTTCTGACTCTCTGTTTGGTAGTCTGTATCTCTGTGGGGGGGGGGGGTTCTGCATCTGTGAATATGGCTCTTAATAATCAAGCTGACAGACTGGGAGCTGCGCATGTGATTAAGATAAAATGGTTAAAGTCCCCTCTTCCTTAGCCTCTCTCCTCTCCTCTCTCTACCTGTCTTTGTTGGTGCTGAGCATCAATGGATTTTGATAATTAGAGTATCTGATTAAGATACTATCAGCAGCATACCACTTGCAAGAAATGTCATTTTGTTTTTTTAAAACAAAAGAATTCATTCATTGATGCTCCACTCTAAAATCAGATCAACTCTCAAGGCTCCACTCAGTTCATTGATTTAGTCTTGTGGTTTCCTGGAAGATTGAAGGCAGTGTTTACAGTTTCAAGATCAGTATTAATGAGTTTTAACCTTAAGTGGTGGTTGAATCACAGTATTAATGAATATGTTCGTCCATAGCTGTGGTTTGATATGAAAATAGAATGGAGATAGTCCATTTTTGATTCATGGTTTAGTTGAATCAAACACAAGCTGTGTATTGATGTATCTGTAGTTAATGATGCACATGATACACTATCCACTAATCCATTTTGAATCCATTTCTTTCTTTGTTGTTGACATCCTGTGATCTTGTAATAGTACAGACAAAGCTTAGTTCTCTCCTCGCTTTGTTTGCCCAAATGGAAGGTATCGTGGAATTGGAGAATCTAGACAGATGAGAGAGCTGCCTCACTCTGTTCCAGAGAAACAGCAGAGCAGCCACATCCATAACCTTTTTTTAAACAGCATGACAGCATAGTAATTGGGACTTTTAGAGCAATGACACTATGAGCTTGTTTCAAAACTAACTGGGACATGAACAGGCGGTGGAAACATGCGTGCATACATGCGCATTCGCACAAACACACTCACTATCTCTGTCTCTCTTCCTCTCCATCTCTGCTCTACTTATCAGTCTGAAATGTTTTGGTTTGAAAATCACCAGAGGGTGCAAAATCCACGAAGCTTGCATATACAGCTTGACTTTGGCACTCACTTTGCATCATGTATAAGTCTGAGATGCTCACTGCTGCTGTGTGTGTCTGTCTGTCTATCTGTCTGTGTTTGTCCTACTTCTTAATTTCTTAGTAACAAACTATACTATGCTCCCTTAGGCATTATTCATTGATTGGGGTCATTATATACAAGAAGCCTACAATATACAATGTGTATGTTTAGCCACACACTGTATACAATAAAGACAAAAAAACTAAACAAAGCTACACAGATCCAGCAACCTCCCCCCTTGCCAAACAGTCTTAATAGACATACAGCTCTAAATTAGCTAACAAACACAGATACAAAGTATACAAATACAATATACAGTATACACACAAAGCCAAAAGACAGATGAAAGCCAAGCATAAATAGTTTGGGATTTATTGCGCTTCCTGGCTTGTTCCTCGTTAGCAGACTAGATGTCATTACCCAGCGTCTATCCTCCTTACTGTCAGCCCTTCCAGCCTTCAGCATCCACAGGGGGAGGTGGAATTACAGCTTAAAGACATCTTTACCCTCTCTGTGACTTTATGCTCTCTGCTAGAAAGCACAGACTTGGGGGCGCATTCACAAGCCCTCTCCCAGAGGGGAAACAGAGATCGAATGTGCATTCAAACGTAGGAAACTGAAACCTATTTACCCTTCTGAGAGTACATCCAAAACTGTAAATTAATGTTATTCTCACCAATAAGCTACAAGATGGAGAAAGAAGAGTCCATGACAGCAGCTCTCTGACAATGTAGTTTGGCAGATCGGTGCTTTGAACTAAATGCTAAATTTAGCCCGCTCACAATGATAGCATCTTGATGTTTTCATATTTACCTTGTTCATCATCTTTGTTATGTGTGTTAGCATGCTAACATTGAACACAGTGTCCAGCTGAGACTAATGGGAATGCCATTAGTTTTGCAAGTGGTCACAAGGATTATGGGGCTGGATGAAAGTGGGATCACCAACGCTATTAAAATTCATCCTGGGGGAACATGACTGTCTGTACAACATTTCAATCTTAACCATAAAAGTGACCGTCATATTGTGTGATTGTGATCTCATGAGAATATACCCAGAACACGTACACACTCACACACACACACAGACACACACACGTACACGTCAATGCACTTCCCACATTGATCCTCAAAGCATTACTTGATTTACTTGATGTGGTTTCAGCTCAACATGGTGGTCTCTCACTCTCTCTCTCTCTCCCTCTGTTCCTCTCCGTTAACAATGATACAAAGACAATGACAGGAAAACAGACAGAGTCAGGGAGGACACGAGATTGACATCCTTTTTGTTTCTATTGTGTGTCATACTCAGAATCAGATCATTATATTGAACCAATCGAAATAATTGGGGCAGCTTAATGAGACCTGTCACCGTCTCCCACTGTCGAACCGCAGGATGCCTCTCCTTCCCCCTGCCAGCAATATGCATTGTCTCCAACACATCATGTTGACAGAAGCTCACTTTGATGTGCTGTATGATGAATTAATCTCTTGGAAAATAATATTCAAATATGACCGTAAAATATGAAATATGATTACAAATGGGAGTGATAAAAATGAGCCCGGTAATTGAAAAATGATGACAGTGTGATAAGAAACCCAGAAGAAATTTGATAGATGTTTTTTACACTGAAATTATATTATTCATATCATGAATTCTGATAACAACTAAAGAGTTCATAGATCATATAGACATTTTTGCTGTGAGCCTAAAAGGCCTCTGGTTGCCTCTATATCATGGAGCCGTAACTCTCATATAACCGGCAGTGTGCTGTTGACAGGGCTCTTATGTATGCTAACACATTCATCTCCTTGCCCGTGACAAGTTGACATCATGGACAAGGTGTAAGCTTAATTAGTTTGAACAAAGGGAACGAGATGCAAAAGGACCATTACACTTTTTACTGAATAACATGAAGAGCAGCCAATTGAAATTTTGTAATTTGCATGATAATATTCTCAAGAAATGAGACCTGCCAAGTTAATACATGAATAGAAATGCTGTGGTGGATGTTGACTGAACTTTATTTTGCTCTCTACTTTGGTCTTCCTACGCAGCGGTCATCAGGTGGTCTGTCAATCCCACTGTGCGCCTTTCAGGGCACCGTATCGCTGCAATCACCCACGGGGAAAACCCTCTCTCTCTCCACCTATGAAGTCAGCAGTGACGGACTCAAAATCTCCCCCCACAATACAAAGAAGGTAATAGCTCTCGCCGCAGTCTAACATTTTTAGGGTTCAATTCCTGTTGATTATAGGCAATTCATCATATGACTTGGGAAATACTCATGCATATTGCTTTCTTGCTAAGAGTTAAAGGAAAACAATTATATTACACTCATGTCTGGAAATATATGAAGGTAGGCGACTTAAAAAAAAAGAGACTGGAAGCAGGTGGAAACTGCTCAAACCAGAACCAAAAACTACAAGTTGTGTATTGACGAGGTGTTGTGTGCTGTAGAAAAGCTTTGGGTAGAGTCAGACCAGCTGTATCCCTCAGCACCCAGTCTCTATGCTAAACTAAGTGAATCTCTCCTTGGCTCTGTAGTTTCACAAGTCTGTCATATGTCATTTCAATCATCTAACTCTCTGCAAAATAAGTGTAATTCACAAAATGTCAAACTATTCCTTTAACTTAGTCTTCAATTTTATCAATTACTGTCAAAAACAACTAGTTTACATAGAATTTGTCAATGTCCTATTGGCATCTGGGGGCAATAGTATATAGCTGGAAGCATTTGGGAGTAGAGAGAAATGAAATAGCCCTATAACAAATCTGTGATTTGAAATGGGACATTAAGTGAAATAAGACATGTATGCACTGAAAATAGACTTGTATGCACTGCATTCCAAGATGACTAATGGTAAGCCATGAGTGATCCCTGTGGTGGAATTGGGTTAGTTGAATTAGGACTAATGATGAATTATATTGTGACCCCATGCTGTTTGTGAATAACTTGAATTATAAATCTTCCTCTGTTTCAAAGGTGGAAGTGTATCGCTCAAAATCAGTTGGCCACGAGCCCAGCGCAGACGACCCGGCACCAGGAGGCCACGCTGGAGACGTGAATGTCAGCAGCGTAGGGATGGGCATGGAGATCGGAATGGGGATGGGTATAGGAGCTGGCGTGGGGGACACCAACGTCAAGATTCACCTTGAGGTTCTGGAGATCTGTGACAACGAAGAGGCCATGGACAGTGTCTCCATCATCTCCAACATCAGCCAGTCGTCCACCCACGCCCGCTCGCCGTCGCTGCGTTACTCTCGAAGGGAGAACCGCTTTGTCTCCTGTGACCTGGGCGAGACGGCCTCCTACTCTCTGCTCATCCCCAGCAGTGGCAACGCAGAGGCAGAGACCATCAATATCACTATCCCTGACACGGTGGAGGCCCACCGGCAGAACAGCCGACGGCAGACGCAGGAGAACTCAGGGTATCGTGAGGAGATCCAGCTGCTAAATGAGGCCTACCGAAAGCAAGCTGGGGAGAGGGAAGAGTGACATACATACAGGATACCAAGAGGGTGTCTCTCGGGAGGAGGTTGAAAGACAAATTTCCTAATCATTCCACGTCACCACTTTCCAATCACCACCCTTGAACTGAGAGGTGACCCAAATAGAAATTTAGTTTAAGACTGTTATGAAAGTATGTTTGCCTACTCTTGTACTTCCTCTTCAGGTAGCATCATGAGAGCACTTACATCACCTATCTGTAGAATACATAGAGATAGATTAGCCTGAAAAGGAAGAGAGATGGATGTGAATTGGGGTAAACAAGAGAGAGAGATAGAGAGAGAGAGAACAGGGAGAGGCAGGAGGGAGAAACGGTATTCCAGCAGAGCATCTGTATTCCTTGAGAGAGTTTCACCATACGGCAGCCTGTCACATATCTAAAATAGATACAGCAAGAGAGAAATCCACTTAGACATTGAAAAGGAGGGGCCAAGGTCTAGTCACACGTCTAATATGAAGCGGCTCCTGTACACTACATCAGCGGTGACTCAGCAGTGAGGGGAGGGGTCACCTGACCCATGTGTCTAACTCACCCATGTGTGTGTTGTTCTGCATTTGTGTGTGTGAGAAGTAGCCTTGCCGGTAAGGGTGGGGGGGAGACATATGAGAGTAATGGTTTGCAATTTCAGCCACCAAAAGTATTCACATGTTTCCTTTATATGAATGTGCTTATTCTACATATATTTATTTTAACTGTGGTGTGTTTTCCTTTGCGTCCAAGTGCTATGACCATTATGTACTATTTACACAATTAATGTTGCCACTATCAAATGAGAGAGAGACCACTATCAACGCTGAAAATCTGAAAAATGAAAGTAGAGGCCGAGCATATGAGAGAAAGTGCAAGTGATTATTGAAGAAGAGGTCGATGGGATACTTTTGCAGAGGAGTTTTCTGCCTCATGCACATTTAGTGCAATTTAAATGAGTGACAGTGTGCATATTTTACTACAGTAGGCAGCATATGAATGTACATTTCAGAGCCACTTTGGAGGCTCATCTGCCCATCCAATCAGTTAGCCACTGGGCCTCTCACTTTCTATTGAATACATGCATATATTCAGGACTGGAATAAAATGTTCGTATATATGTAGGCCTATTTCAGCACTGTTTTTGAATGGTTACATGGACTGTGAACATCTGTCAGAAGCATATAAATCTTCTCTTTCCCGAATAATGTTGATGTATCCATTATCTATATGCACATTTACATGTACATTTGTGTGTATATAATTGCAGTAACATAGTAAAACTAGGTATTTTAGAGTAACTAATATATATTTATTTAAGTTTGTCTTATTATGGTGTCTTTTATACATCAGCCGTTTGGTTGCGTGATCTTCAACACAACATTGGCATTTTGTGGACTTTATTTGCTGGCGTTTGAATTTGTCCTTTAAAGAGTCTACTTCATCAGCTGCCGCATTTCCCATCCTGCCGAAGAATGTTGTCATTAAAGATTCATACCGGAAAATTGCCTCCAACTGCATTGCAATGTCAAGAGCTCCCAGGCAAAATGTAAAAGAAAATAATGTACAGGCGTATGAATCATACTGAATGTAAAGTAGTATTCAATGTCAACCATTTCAGCTGTTAATGGTGCCAAAGGTTTTTCAGCTGAACACAGCTTCATCTCCGCAGAATCAGAGTGGAAGTAGTTTGATCATCTGCTTATTTTCACTTTCAGACAGGACAACAGCTCAGCTTCTGGTCTCATCAAACCTTGTGATCAATAAACTTGCCATTTGCTTTTATTTGTGAGAGACTCGGACTTTCACAATAGCTTTACAGCTGCATGTTTACTCAGTCATGTCAACCATCCGAGCTGATTCGGTTACACAAAGTACTCAAATGCGATTCTTTATTACAGAATGAAAGCAAATACAGTGCAGTGATTAACTACTTAAAGAAACTGACCTAGTTAGTTCGCCACCATCATTGGTTGTTGTTTGGTTGTTGTGCCCCTAGGATGACAGTAATATGACTAATCCTCAACCGCTGTATGATATTGTGTTAATGCTCTTATCTGTGTTTCAGCTGACATAAAATCAGCACTAAAGACATGATATTTTCTTCTTTTTTAGGAAGGTTTCACAAATAAAATGTCATCCTTGTGTTTGTGAGCACATTTAAATATATGTCTTTGTGGAAGGAGCGTAGAGGGAGAGATACCAGAAAGCAAATAGTAGGAAAGCAGCAGAGAATTTGAGTAAAGGGCACATGGCAGCAAAAACAAAAAGTAAAATAAAATTTAAAAAGCAGTTATTAAATACATATGCCAGCAGCTAATCCTAAAGTTTTATCATTTCTCTCCGACCCAAGGACTTTCACCTCCCACTCACAACCTGTGATTATGCTGAAGCAATAAGGTGGAGGTAAGCCTGCATACAAATGTAGCATCAATGGCACTGCTTGAGACCTCTAGCTCAACACATGCGGCGTCAATGAATAGCATGCTTTGTTGAGAATGTACGTCTGAGCCAGAAGAGGAGAAAAAAAACAGTCTAAATATGATGCTTTTCATCTGAGGTTTTCCATCTCGGTTAAATGATTCATTAGAGTCAGAGATCATTTGTATGCATCAGCTAGCCCTGAGGGTATGAAAACAAGGTGTGCAGAAGAATCCGCAACAGCACTAAGGGGAGTGGGGGAAGGGGCTCATACGAAACAGTCCGTTCTTACATCATATCCTTTTGTTGTTACGTCTCCCTCCACAAAGTCTTTCTGGTATGTCTTCCTCTCCCCATACATCTCAGATTCCCTCTCAACATGTTCCTTTACTCTTTCCTAGCTTAGTTTCTCACTATTGTCCTGCCTTGCTTACTCTTTGACTCCAGCTCATTTTCAATCCCCCATATGTTTCATTCAGTGTCACCAGCTGAGATATTGATTGTGCCCACACGTTTCAAAATAATGACACGGATGAAAGTATTGGCAGCTGAGTCGAAACTCTGCGAGCAACTTCTAATTCAAACAAAGTTTAGCTAATCACAGTTGATTTCTTTTTATGTTTCAAACCAAGTCCTGCTCAAAGACAAGACTGAATCTATTTCTGTCAAAGCTTAAAAACAGAGCCAGATATGGATTTAATGTGAGACAGATGATGAAAACAAACTCCTCAAGACACAGATTGAAACTGAAATTCCCTAGAAACTAGATGTACAGTATCTTTCACACCAAATGACAATAAAGTAATTAATGTCATCCACAAATTATCTTCTTTCACTGCATTTCCTTTAATTACAAAATAGTTGATGACACCATCAATGTGGACACGCTGCACACATTTTCATTTCACAGATTATAAAATCAAACGTTTCACATCTTCAAATGTATCAGTGCTATGATAACGACAGAACGGGAGAGTGGGTGAGGAGGAGAAGTTGATTTAAAAGTGGTGATGCATGATATTTCATGTGAGCGACACAGAGCTCGAGGGTGGGTGATAGGCTACTCTGCAACCTCTCATGAGCATCATGCACAAACCTCATGATTATGTGGCATTATGGCACTAATTGGGTTAATATTGCTTTCATTTTAGAAGAAAAATGCAGAAGGAGACAGACAGACAGAGAGACAAACACATCTTTCACTCATTCAAGTTTTCAGCTAATTTAAAACAAGACAATGTTTACTACAATTTAATTATATATGTGCTTGTAACCATTCAAAACAAACAGAGACAGCGAAGCATAATTGCTAACCACCACTGCACAATGGTATGCTATTAATGCATTTCAGTTAGAGGGTGATGGATTGCAGTGTTTTTTTCAAATTTATTGGAGTTGATAAATATTTCAGGAAAGAATGGACTACAATTTAACTGAAAAGCTGCAGATGTTTTTTTTTATTTTTTTAGAAACGTGAGGTTAATGCTTTAGTAGTCTAGCAGTCATGGCAGATCTTTTTCATTTGGCTGTAACCTTTAAGGCCCCGACAACAGGTCATTCCCTGATGTCCCGTTGAGCTATGGTAGCAGGGTTAGCCCGTTACAGCAGTTACATTGGCAGCATAAATTTCCTGGTGTGGATTTTTAGAGCCTCAGGACGTTGTTCATAAAGTCACATTAAATGTTTTTTTTCCCAATTCTTGATCCTTCAGTGACTCAAAACGTACTTATGTCTAACTATTGGCCATAGAGATAAGAATGATTAGGTTTTCTTGGTAAACAGGAATGTCAGGGGTTTGGGTCTGGGGATTAAATAGCCAAATATTTCATTTTTTGTTGTATGGTATGTACATAAGTCAAACAGGGACCACAATACAGCGGGATAATACAATACACCAGAGAAAAATGCCTGATAGAAAATCCATGTTAAACAAAAAGAAAAGAAAATATGGAATAAATTGGGTATACTGGGAACTAATCAAAATAAATGTATTCTCAATCACTTCAAATGCATATTTTAATAAAAAATATTTGAGAGAAACACCTTATTGTTCACAAGATACTCAAGATTCTTTCCTGCATAAAGAATAAATAATGTTGTTTTTTGTTTGCTCGTTATAGGATGTCCAGAAAAAAAACAAAAGCAAAACTGAAGATCGAGCCAAAAAAGATTTCACCAAAGGGACACTATCAACAAAAGAGATATGTGATCAATGACAAACCGCTGATGAATGGAGTCAGTAGTCTACATCAGGATTAGTTTCAACTCTTAAAATGGAGATCCTTTTTTTTTGGAAGAAAATACAATAACAGACGATAAGCTCTTATTTTGATAATGTCACACATACAGTCTTCTAAGGGAGTCGTTCAACAATCACAGACGCGATCTTGTTATTACCCTGCCATCACGGTTGTTACATTTGTATATATTTATAGTAAAACAAGAGCCTAAGAGTAAAATAGCCAACAACATCTGAAGCAAATGAGTTATTGCAATATCTGTTCATGGATTGATGAGAAGTTAACATAACAGTTGCCTGGCTAAGTAAAAAACATGGTACCACCACATCCACCAGCCACAATTCCAACAGCCAATCACAGAGCGCCGCCACGAGCATATCATGCAGCTGGAAATTATGTCTGACGTTATTTCTGTGCGACATGCCGATGGAATCGAACAGGCACCAAACAAAAGTGTTGCATGTTGACGGCATCATCTGAATGTTAACAATATGTTATGCTGTAATGTTGGCTCTCAAGAAATGACCTGTCGGCAGCTACGTATGTTTAACTTCAGTCTCTGACCCACAAGTCCATTCAACACATCCAGCTAAGCATTGACGCTTAGCAACGTTAGCATTAGCGAGTAGCTAACATTACAATATTAGCTAACGTTACCTAACTTGAATTACCGGTTAACGGTTATTCTTACAGCGTTTTAGCTTTTTTTCTGACGGCGGTATGAGTTCTGGTTATGGTGGTCGAGGAGGGAGAAGAGGCAGAAGAGGAGGTGGAGGATCCAGAGATGGAAGCAGAGAAAGACGGGACAGAGGAGGTTCGAGTGGACACAGTTCCGAATTTGACCAGGACCGAGGAGGAGGAGGTGGACAATGGGACCGTCCTCCTCCACACCTGAAGGGACGTGAGATTGGTATGTGGTACGCAAGATACGGAGCCGTGAGGAGGAAGCAGGGTGACCGGAGATCGGTATGTATTGTGTTTGGTTGCGTGCTCTTGCACATTGTGTTGAGCTGGGAAGGTTGTCACTCCATTAGAAACATCAGGACCTTAAGCACAGATATGAGTCTGAGGCACTCTGAGGGTGACAGTTCCCTCCTAACTGATTTATTAACCCCTGTAGTAGACACCTGATGTAAAGTGTGGGGCATATGCTGATTTAATTGAAAAATGGTTAAAAGCACAAAGTCTATGTTGCAGAAATTTACACCCTAATCGGTGGGCAAAATCCTGCAGATAGGTGGTACATCACCCAGATCCTGACACATCTTATTATAGCTTGATCAATTTAGTGAATAGAGACACCTTCCCTGAATGTTTTTTTAAACTTTGAGTCATGAAACTGCATTAAGTTGTTTGATGTTATCAGAGCCGAAGAGACATGTGTTGATTTAATTTACTGGGTTGTGTGAATGGGCGTCTAAAGTCTGAGGGTGACAGAATTGGTTTCAACCCTTAAAGCAAGCCAATCGTATTCACGGTACATGGCAGAGGAGTTACAGTAGAAGTTGCATAGTGCTAAAAGAGCAAGTAATCATTCAGCTATCACTGAAATGCAAAAATCACATAACAATGTGTATCGCTGTTCCATGGATTTCACATTTCAGAGGGATTCAGTTGGATTTTTCAATAATTCACTCATAACATTGCTTCAAACAGAACGCTGGTGTCACATTTGTAAAGGTTAACTGTAATGTTACGACTGAACTTTCCCCTTTTCATGTCCGTGTGCAGCGGGCGGTGGTCCAGATGGATGAGGCCAGAGAACAGCATATTACCAAGCTGCTCAGCTCTGTCCAAAATGATCACCCTGGTTCGTGGAGAGATGCGAGAGCCTCTACGTCTAACAGCTTGCGGACAGCTGCAAATAGCAGCAGCCATTGGTAAGAACAGCTTGTATAGCTATTCTGTTCAAGACTTGCACAGTGTCATTTTTTCAGATGCGAGTGCTGTTAAAAATGTCACTCTGATTTGTGCATGCAGTTACTTCGATGGGGACATGTCTGAGGAGGAAAAACAGAAGATTGAGCTCAAATCTGAGGACGAGGAGGAAGAAGTTACTCCAGGCCAGAAGAAAGCAACTCACAAATCGCAACGGTAACTTTGCAAGCAAATATGATTCATTGTTCCAAAAAATATAGTTCAATATTTGATGGTGTTCCATGCCACAATCACAGAACAACCAATATTGTCCGGTGATCCACCGTATCGTGGATATTTACGCACTTTATTGTTTTTCCGTTCAGTTACTTCTCCCATGCAGTTGTGAAAGATGAGCCTCCAGACACATGGGATGATGAAGAGGAGAAGGAGAAGGAGAAGGAGGAGAAAGAGGCGCTGAGAAGGAAAGACAAGGACCTGGAGTTCTTAATCCAGGAAGTAGCCAGAGACGGTTCACTTGATGACCGCTTAAAGAGAGACCTGCAGACCAAGAAATCAGATACAAAGTACAAAGAAATGCTGGTGAGCATACAGATTAGTATCAAGTTCATGATGTTGAATGTAATGATTTTATCATGTGTCTACAAATATTAAGATGTCCACTGCACCAGACTTTTATTGTTGGTTTGATGCCCAACATCATTTATATTTCTTTAGATAGGATGCATACCATCCAATTAAAAAGGTTGCATGATTATTTATGTGGGGAAGATTGGGTTAGTAAAGAAATGAAGAGTGGAGTAAAAATAACCAAAGCTCAAACACAGCATATGTTTCTTAATAATTAGTAAAAACCTGCCCGTTAATTAGAATTTGATTCTTTGCCTTGTTTTGTACTCTGAGTTTTACCGGTCAACAGATGTTTATCTTTATGGATCTGAATAGTTTAATATAATACAGCGTAAGGTTGGGAAGGATGGAGAATTAATATCTCACAGGAATATTATATCCCACATGTAAAATATTGGGAAATGTTTTAAAAATGAAATTACAGAGCAGATTAGTCCCAATATCGTAATGTCACATTATTCCACTGAGTGAATATTGAGGAATTACTGAATTGTCAACCCACTGTTCAGAATCTGGTTTGTAAGATTGGAATAAGAGATGTTTTGGTATTTAAAAACTGTACTCATCATCAAGTCATAAAGAAAGAACGTCTGCTCTTCATTTTATTAATTTTCTTCAGTCTTAATTAAGAAATGTTTCAAATGTCTTTGCCTTCAGAAATTCAGGGAAAGACTACCATCTTATGGCAAAAAAGAGGTAAGTTTTTGATTCCACTAACTCTTGAAAGCAAACACTCTTCCGCATGATTGTGTATTCTGCTAAATTAAATCTTAGCCTCTTCATCTCATGACCTTTCCTCTCATTTGCTTCCATCTTTCTGTACTCAGGAGCTGGTTGAGCTTATCAACTCGAACCGTGTCCTGGTGGTGAGTGGGGAAACAGGGTGTGGAAAGACCACCCAGGTTACCCAGTTCATCCTAGATGACTACATCAATAGAGGTGTGGGCTCAATGTGTCGTGTGGTCTGCACGCAGCCTCGCCGCATCAGTGCCATCTCGGTATGTACTTTTTCGTTTTCTAGCTCTGTGTTGAATCGCATGTTGCTTTGAGCATACCAAGGACAGATGTGGTTGTGTGATATTATGTTTATGGGCTGCGTATGTCATTTCCTGCATCTGTCATGTAACTTCGATGGATATTCTTCACTAATGCTGATCGTGTTCTTACATATTTTTGTGGGTCCTCCCTCTCAGGTAGCAGAGCGTGTAGCATCAGAGAGGGCAGAAAGTGTAGGAAATGGAAATTCTTGTGGTTACCAAATCCGCCTGCAGAGGTAAGGAAGTCTCTTCAAACATATGTTGTATAATGTAATCAACATAACTGATGCTATAGCAGCATCTACGCTAAGCTCTTTAGGAGCCGCTGTTGTTAGTTAGAACCAACAGTCGCCTCTCACACACCTAAACCACGCCCATAGCTGCCAGTCGCTCGAACAGAATGTTTTCCAGCTGATTGGCCACATTTACACACATGGGCCGCCACTGCCTCATTATTGATTTATGTTGGGACACAGCAGCACAGACCGCAACGTCACAACCGCACACACACACACACACACACACACACACACACACACACACACACACGTCATCGGTGTGGAAGTTCATCAGTGTGGTTCCGAGCGCCGGAAGTGACGGAGCTAGCTAACGGAATGCGGAGTAGGTTTAAGCGGGAGGTCAATCAGAAAAGTAAAGAGGGACGCCAAACAGACAAGTTCATGCTCCGACAGGACGCTCTCACCGCCATGTTGGATTTGAGTGTCGTCGCCATTTAAACAGAAGGCGAAGGAATGGATTGGTTTATGGGCTAAAATATAATAACCTCTCGTGGTAGTGATATCACAACGCTACAATGCCACTGATATAATGATAATATAATAACCTAATAATGCAAGCACACCCTTTCGAAGAGCAATGTCTGCACAATGCCCAAGTCTTATAATGGGAGGGAAGATGGTTTATTCTGCATCATGTTGGCTGCAAGTGTTGTTGATGCTTTTATTAGATTAGATTGTTTGTTAGCCACACAACCAAAGCCAGTGGAATTTGTTTGTGGTACAGTATTTTGTTCTCTTTAGCAGAAATACATAAATGGATAAAATCAATATGTAAACAGACGCATGTAAACACAAAGTCCAATATCGAGGTCAACAAAAATGACCGAGGTCAAGTCCATTTATTGTACAATAAGCCATTAATGTAATTATTGTGACAGGCCTACATGTAACATATTACAAAATAAATTTGTGATAAATCAAAAAGCCATGCAGCAAACCTGCTGCCAGTGATGCAGTAAAAACTGTACACATTACAGAGACCAATTACATTACTTATTAGAAAGCATTTTCTTTATCGACAACATTTTTTAGCAACATCAATCTCAGCTTTATGTGAACTTCTGTGTACAGACTGAGCATCAATATGTCGCTGCTTTGAAATAATCTTTGTGTGTGTGTGTGTGTGTGTGTGTGTGTGTGTGTGTGTGTGTGTGT